GGAGAAGTGAGGGGAAGCTGGGGTAGGGTGTGTCTATCACCCGGTGGCATGACAGGAGGAGCGGGGGAGTCTGCCGGGTGGGGGTAGGCAAGGCCGGAAATAGAGCAGGAGGGAGCGGGAGGGGATAAAGGAGGAGGAGCGGGAGGCAGAGCTCACACTGAGATGTTCTCCCTTCTCTTCGACCTCGAGGATTACGCCACCACCTACCGCGCCACCCGCGACGCCTACCTCAAGGCCGCCAACGAGCTCAAGCTCGCCACTGGCCCCTACAAGGCTGCCCGTGATGCCTACGTAGCTGCCACCGCCACCTACACCAAGTCTCTCTACGAGTAAATGTAATCTTAATAAACTCTGGAAGCACATCTTTCGTTTGGTTGTTCCTTCACAATTTTTTTATGTACTTAAAATTCTCTCAGGTTCAATTGTAAGCAACAGATGTACATATTTCATTGTAGAGAAGAGCAACTTTCAATCTTGTCCTGAGTCGGCTGAACATTGCATCTATACTTCTCTCGTGAAATTTCTTTCCGAATTTGTACAAAACATGCGCACCATTTATAATGAAGACTTCTATGGTTATGATTGTTTTTTCCGTCCTGACCAGCTATCAATGGGAGATGCGCTTCGTTTCGTAACAGACGGCTTCTGATCGTTCCCTGTTGGATGATCGAAGGCTGCATCGGGATTGAAGTCTGATTCTTTTGGGGAGCCATCTTGAGGCTCGTGGTTGGCTGTCGAGTGATCAGAAGCTTCAGACTCCTGAGATGTGCTCCTCAATGTGAGCATCAAAACAATCATGTTGTCTCACCGGATCACAGTCGTAGCCTTCCGGTGGAACATAATTGGCAAGGGCCACAGCTGCTGGTATGTCAAGTAAGTCTCCAGTATCAGGCTCGGATCTGCTGGTCCTTTGCTGAAGCCATGGCTTCCTCATGTCCACCACATCCATCGCTTCTCTGCAATCGAAGGTTTAAAATTTCCCTGTTCCTGGAGTTGAATGGAACATCGAGAATGTGCACATTCTGAATGCTGCTCTCGCGCAGCCTCTTGCCATTGCAGAGTTCTTACTTCACAGATGAATGTGATCATGAATCGAAAAGCAGGCTTTGTGAAAGTTTCTATACATGAAAAGCTACAAGGAGTTTAACAATGAAATTTGCTCAACACTAACAGCACTCCTCAATAAAAAGTCAAATGACTGCACTGCCAGTGCCTTGGTGTATGGAGAAAAAAACGGGAGGGGGGGGGGGACAGGGGAAGTGAGGGGGGGGGGGAGGGGGGGCTGTTCCACTTTTTGGTTTCAAACGAGCATTGAGAGCTATTCTACTTCAGCATCAATGAACTTGTTCCAGTTTGAAAAGCAAGACATACAAGTCCTTGAAGAGAAGGAATTGTAGTAGTCAGTCAAAAGTGGTTGATGACATGCCTCAGGACGAGCAAAAGAAAATGAGCCTGAACAACCAGGATAGGTAGATTAAGAGCTACAGAGAGGTGTCGTTGAAGGAGCAAACGAATAGCCTCAGACGCTTATTGAGTGAGACAAAAGAGTCACAGGAAGGTGGTGGACAGGCAATAGCGTGCGTCCGAGGCAGGGGTCAATCGGAAGTGTTTGTGTGTGTTTTTGTGTGTCTGTGTGTAGGAAGAGGGGCGGGCGGGGAGGTTTATCAAGCCGGAGTGAAGAGGCAGAAGAGGGAAAGAATGCACAGAGAGAAGAGAGGTAAAAGCTATGAGTACATGAAGGCTCAGAGAGGAAGAATAACTGACTATGAAGAGAAGCAAAAAGGCAGATCATGACAGGAAAAGGCCACTTTGGGACCACAGAGATCAAACAAGGTTCTAAAGCCATGAAAGCTGAGGGTGACCTATCCTTGTTTGTCAGTTTGAAGGCATCCTTTATAATCACTAGAGGTCTTATGGATGTCCTTCTGAATAGCGTTGCGTAGTGTGCCCAGTTTAGTTAACCTGGAGAAAGGGGTTAAGATCTAGGTTAAATCCATAGATGACCCTAGCTAAAGATTCCAGTTATCAATTTGTACCACAACCATTGCTTTTTTTTAACTGTCAACAACTCGTTCCATCGATGCATTCATGCCGCGCAGTGCGGTTGCCATGCTATGCAGAAAGAATGCAGATCTGATGCGTATGCGAAGGTTGCGTTGCAGTCATATGAGATTCCAGCAACAGAGATATTGCATGAGCCGCTCATGCAATATCTCTGTTGCTGTCAATGCAGGAAATCAACAACATGAAGCTTACAGTATGAAATCATTTATTGCATGAACTTCCTCAATTCAAGCGAAAGCTCACGATATTTGTGTCCCCTTCAGGATTCATGTCTACAATCCTTGGTGACTACAGATGAGCTCACTGGAATCTGCATAGCTTGACACATGCACAGGAAGCGGTGACGTTAGCCCGTTGGAATATCCTTCGAAGTTTACCTTTGCCTGTTCTTGAACATATGCATGTTGCTATGAAAAGATGCTGTATGTTAATCATATGTACCGTTGAACATTACATTTGGATTCGTTATCATTGTCCTCGTTGAACACACAACAGGAAAGCTTTCAGCAACACAATCTTGCTGTCTCAGAGATGTTCAACAGCGAGCAACAAGAGCTAATAAAGAGTGAGGGTGAGCTAGGTGTGCAGGCTGCCATGAGTCTATGCTGACAGGATGATAGTCGATGTTATGTTGTCAGTCAGATGGAGAGGCAGAGGTTCACGGGAAGGAAGTCGGGCGAGGCTGCGCACGCCATGTGTACGCTGTGTGGAACGCCCTGCCAGGGCGCCGCTCGTCGGCTTTTACCGAGATGTCGAACCGTTGCGATTTAGCTATTCAAACGCTATTCAGGCCCTGAATAGTGACATAGGAAACTATTCAGAGCCTGAATAGTGTCTGAATTCAGAGCTGATTTAAGTAAAACTTTAGTACCTACGCTACGCAATTCAGGGCTTCCATAAGACCTCTACTGTAAATGAATTGTCGAACAACACACGGGGATTTGGTCTAGCGGTATGATTCTCGCTTAGGGTGCGAGAGGTCCCGGGTTCGAACCCCGGAATCCCCCTGCGACAGCAGGGCCCGTGGGATTCCAAGCTCACTGAGCTGGTGTACTCTCCCTCGTAACTTTTTTGCTTTAACTTTATAAATTGTTTTTGTGGATTTTTTGCCACCATGGATCGGGCGGGGGATGCGGTAGGATCCGCGCTGGTTCTGGGAGCAACGGGACAGACAGGGTCAGCACTCGTGAGAGAACTCTTAGCAGGCATAGCGCACCATGCCCATGCTATGAGACAGCAACTCACGACCAAGCAGGTTCAACCCCGATAGCCACAAAGGTAGTTGCGTACGGCAACAGTCGCCTGCCAACTTACAATGGGCCAAACCAACACTTGTTCTCCGGGCTTCAGGTGGGGCTCGATCTCAGATTCTTGTCACTGGGTTTAATAGTGGAGCAGGCTCCCATGGAGGATCTCGCCGGAAGCAGAGTGAACGAGCTGATGGTGATGGACAACTTCCCTTTCTCTCGTTTGATCTCAGTGATGCAGGGGTTCGATTCGATCTTCATCCATGTCGGCACGCAGAGGAGGAAGGCAGGACTTGAAGGGCAAATAAGACTGGAATACGACAACACGCTAGCTGTATGTCAGCACACTTAACGCAAGGACTTACACATCGAGCCTGTGGCAGATTGCCAAGGCTGTCAAGGGTTTCGGGTGTAGAAACTGTCACATTGTGACTTCAACCGGGGCAAACGCTAACTCGAGTACGCGATAATGAAGAAAGGATTCACCTGCTGATTGACTGCATTCACGGCAGGCATCATGTATCTGAAGACCAAGGGCAGGATAGAAGAATCATTGAAGTCGTGAACTTTGTAATGGAACCTGCAATCTGAAGCGTCTTGTAGATCATTGAATTTTGATCGTCTTTGTATATATCGGCCAGCGGCTCTTTATGGTGGGGACAGGACGTCTGGCTTCTTTCATCGGTCTTATCTTTCAACCTTGTTTGATACGTGGGTAATGTTTTGCGTTCCTACTGGCAGTTCCGTGTTGCCCTGCCTGAGCACTCTCGGTCTCGTACAGAGGATTCAAGTTGATCATGTAAAGCTTCGCTCTTCTCTCCTCCTTCAGCTTCTTCCGGTTTAACACTTGACTGTCATTTTACAGGTTGCGCGTGCCATCCGCTTGATCGCTGGAGATCAATCCGGGTTCAGAAAGAAGGATGGAAAAGTGGAGATCTACTCTAACACAGAGCTGCATCAAATATGCAGGGCCACTTGATGATTGAAAAAAAATGCATCTGAAACTTGCCACGCGGCCCATGCTTCCGTGCCATCGGATCATTTTATTGTGCCCTCAGGCCCTGGTGCCGCCACGGTACGGTACGCCGCCGTAGTACCGGCGGGCGGCCCGGCGCCCTGAGCTGAGCCTCAGACTACTGGCAGGAGAGTTTCTGACTGGCACTGCGGCAAAGCTGGCATGCGATCCATCAGTCCGACGGTCACGGGTGACGGTGCCACTGTCCGGCACTGCCATCCCGGTGTAGTACACGCCCGGGGCCGGGCCGCGGGCGGCGCGCGGCCACTGCCGGCGCATGAGACGGTCACCGCCTTGAAGTTGGACGGTCTGCCACTATCCTGGCAGGGCCTCGCCGGAGAGCAGCGAGCTGTTCCGCTGGGCCGCCTCCGAGACTCTGATGGAGCGGCAGTTCCAAGTTCCAGCAGGAGCGGCTGCGCGGGACTGAGGGGGCCCGGCCGGGGGGGCGGACTCCGCCGCCGGGAGGCGCCGGGAGACGGGCACGGAGGGGGAGGAGGGGGGGAGGGGGAGCTGAGACCGTCCGGCGGCCGCGCGCCGGGGTGAGCGAGGTGAGCTACGCTGGACTCCGACTACTTCCCCGGCGGCAAGACTGGCGGCGGCTTCTTCAAGTACGACGAGGGCGGCGTGGGGGAAGGAGGAGGAGGAGAAGGAGGAGGAGGAGGAGGAGGAGCAGCGGCAGTGGAAGGCCGGGAGCGACTCAGCCTGGGCATGCGGAGCCGGGCCTGTGACTCACTGTCAGGCTCCGAGGCTCGCCGGTCACCAGGGCCCGGGACGGCGGAGGAGCGCTGCAGCGATGGGTTTTGAGGGGCGGGGAGCATGCCGTTTACTTTCAGGCCTTTCGTTAATTTGGCACTTAAATTTTTCGGTAGAGTCTTTTTTTTTAATAGGCGTGCTATTTTGAGAAACGAGCCAGAAACCCCGCTTAATAGTACCCATACGTTTTAGTTTATTTCTACACTCCTCTTTAAAAGTTATTTTAACAGTGTACCGGCATATACACTTTCACAGTACCACTCTAGTTGCAATCCTCCTTGCCTGGACGGGCAAAATGGCGGCGCAATCAGGGCGGCCACCGTCGTCAAGGGCTGCCTCATCGCTCGGCATTGCCAAAAGGAGGAGATTGGAGCAAAGGGAACAAGTTGATCCTCTTCATGATTTGCAGGAGATACATCCAAGAATTCCAGGCAATCTTGCAACACCGTTGTTCCTTGCAGCAAATGCCTTCGATCATTCTGTGCACTATGAATTACAACACCACGTTAAAGGTTTAGACATGACATTCAATCTGGTACCATGTCTTGGTGTGAGGTTTACGGATGTCAATGGGAAATTTCGAACTGGAATCATCCGAAAAGTTTCAGAAAAATCTGTCAGTGTGTTCATCTTGTATACCAAACAAACAATGGAAGAGGTTAGACAGAATGTACAATTCAATTCAACGTCGAACAGAATGATCAACTCATTATTACCCTTCCAGTGTTTTCAGAGTGTGTATACTGATGAAGTTCCTGTTGACGATATCTGTGGAGTTTTTCAAATCAACTTCGAGCAATTCTCTGGAAGGGGGACATTGTCACATATGCAGACCTCTGACAGTCTCCCTTGCATGTTGTGTGTTGGATACTTATATTTCTATGCCAATCCCAAGAATCGAAAGGAAGAATGTCAGGTTCTTTATTTCAAGAAGCTGGATGTGTCATTGGACATGTTGCGCTACTATTTTTTGAACATCAGAAAACAAACTGATTTCTTCCGTCTCAACATCGATCTGCAGAAGATTCGGACTACTATGGTTAACTGGTTTATCAAACGTGGGAAGCCCTTCTTGAAACCCCGGATGAAACGTGTCGAATTTGATGTGGATCTAGACGAAATCACATCATTCCTGCTTCTTTTCAAACACCTGCAACCGGACGACTGCAACGAAAACATCTGTTGTACAGGGTTGAATGGGAAAGGTCAGTGCAGTTGGACCATCAGTACATCACTCTTACAGAACCCTGTCATTAACAGAGAATTTCCTGTGCCTTTCAAAAATGAACCCTACATGTTAGAACCTGGATCAGGTTCGTTGTATTTCGAGGGCCCACTGACAGTCACCTTGAAACGAAATCAGAGGACACAATACACGTGCATCTCTTTCAAGTTCGAAAGAATGGTACGATTGTGCATGTTTCACACAGAGATTTGGAAGCATCCAGATTAAACGCGAGTTTACTCAGACATTAATTTACACAAGGATAACTTTGAAGGAGCAGCCACAATAAAGTGAAGTGTGCTCGAACCGAATTGTTGAATTTCTTCTTGTCTGCATTGCGTGAAGGTCCATGACTACCGCATGGACAGTGCATATCCCACACATGGTCAAGTTGCCCGTTAGATGCTGCAGCAGCTTTCTTCTTCTCCGATCCAATGTAGCTGTTCCCGATCATGGCAGCAGCTCGATATGCATCTCTTCCCTGAAGTTGATGTCGGTGCTCGATGCACGACATGTTCAATAGTCCCAGCTGAATGCCATATTTCTCGTAGAAATGTACAAACTGATCGCCCACATGCCCTGACATCATGCTGTGCAGATAGAAGGACTGCAGAAGTCTCGCTTGTCCGATTAATCTGACTAACTTGAAAGCAAACCCCCTAATCTTGAAAGGAAGTGCTTTGACGTCTTCCTTACTGATATTTGCATGATGCTGAGTTTGCAGAATGTACAAAATACTCTTCAATTCCAAAATGGCCTCCTGCCAAAGAAGCTGTTTGTCTCTATCAGGCACCAGCAGTTGAATGATGTCAGGTAACACATCAAGTAACTCATCACACTGTTTACCATTCAACTGCCTGCTGAATTCCTGCAGTCTGTTTTCACTCAAGTGAATGTGAACATTCTTCACCAAGAAAAGTTGGTTGACCCTTGTCAGCTTGGCCTTGTTGTCAGCTAGTGAATGAATGAACTTGATGATCGTATTTGAAATTCTGAGTTTCAGATGCAAAGAACAATAAACAAATTCCAAAGCAGACATGTTCAATTCCCGTAGCTGGTCGTATTCCCGATTGATTGGAATGTAACGCTGGCAAGCAATTTTCGTACCTGCTGGAATTGGACTTTGAGGATTTGCCTGACAAAACCGTATCGCATTCTGATTAGCTTCTGAACGCATAATTGCAAAGTCCTGCATGTTGGTTGTATCGAACAATTCTGGGCAGCCCCTGCTATTCGGAGCGTTAACTAAAGAGTTTAGCTGTTGCATATCCCTGGGGTACAATTGAAACAAATCGCACAAACCTGCCCAGGTAATTTGCTGCTCAGTACCAACTGTGTAACATGTAAAAAATTTTGCCTGTTGTTTAGTTTGGAGCTGTTCGTTGCAATGAATGCAGAATCGTCCGGTCTGATCGCTTCTCCCTCCTTCACGCAAATATGCCCAGTGCCCAGCAAGATCAGCTCGAAAAAGAAATTCGATATCAATTCGACTAGATGGAGTCTTGCCTTGATCAGTCAGTTGACTGCCCCGAAGAGCCTTTCCATTGTGAATATGAATTCCTTGATTCAACAGGAATTGTATCTCTCTCATGTAATACTGCCAAAAATTGTTTTGCAGATTCGTGCTGTTGTCTTTGTCTGGAATAATCATGAGAGTAACCAGGCTGAGGGAGTTACGCATTCGTGTCTCATGTCTCTGTTGCCATTCCACTGAATTATTCTGTGTGTGATAGGGCAGAATACTCAAAGTTATCTCGGTGTGCTTTTTGTCACTGCTTGAACTCTTTGTAAGCTTTGTACAATCACTATTGATAGTCACTATCAATCGCTCTTCTCCATGTAAGCCCAGCATGTCGATTATTTTTTCAACTGACCTCACAAGGCTTGCTCCATGCGCTCCATCAACAGTACAAAAAACCTCCAAGTCGGAGCGTAATCCTTTAGACATCAACACCCTTTGACGGCAAAGTTTTGATACTGGTGGAGCCATTCCTCTACTACGTTTGCAGATTGTCCATATCTTCTTCCAGGTTCGTGTTGAAATTCTGGCTCTGGATAATCCAGTTGCGCCCTCCAACACGTTGGGCAAGAATGGTTTAGTGATGTATCTCAATTGATTGCGCAAATGAACATCACTCTCCAATGCATGACTGAGAAATTCTTTGATTCGCGGATGCTTCATTGTCCCTATGATATATTGTCGCAACTGACTCTCTGGACGTGCCGACCTTGGTTTTCGACCCCGTCGAGGAGCAATGTCAATGTTGTGATCATGAGAGACTGGCAGGCTCTGATGGAAATGTTCTGAACAGATGCTGTCGCCACGGTGGCCCGAGCTCGTCGCATGCTCACAAGCGCCGTCGCCATCATGATGACTCGAGCTCGCCGCATGCTCACAAGCGCCGTCGCCATCATGATGACTCGAGCTCGCCGCATGCTCACAAACGCCGTCGCCATCATGATGACTCGAGCTCGCCGCATGCTCACAAACGCCGTCGCCATCATGATGACTCGATATCGCCGCATGCTCACAAGCGCCGTCGCCAGCATGATGACTCGAGCTCGCCGCATGCTCACAAACGCTGTCACCATCTGCGACTGTCGGAAACTCCACATCGAAATTGCCTGGCATCATTGATTCATCGAAATCATGATCAAAATCTCCATCGGATAATTCTGAATCATCGCTATCATCAATTGGCATTTCCGACCCCACGAAATCATCGTCCAGATTTGAATTTTGATCACATACAGCCTCTTCTGAAGCATCTTGACTGTCTTCTCTTCCGCATGCATCTTGCCTTTTCTCCTCAGGAAAGAAGTACAGCAAATATTCGAATTTCACGGCACGGCATTGTCTTACTATTCCGAAACATCGGCCAATGCCTGAGAAAAATGCTTCCGCGATAGGTTCAAGCTCAGCGAGAATCCTATCCAACACCTTCTTCTGAATGTCCGCCTGTTTGATCCCACGGAAAGTGGATGGATTATTTGGTAATGCTTGTGGATTGCAGTTTTCCCTCTCGCTTGCACAAAATTCATTCCAAATTTCACGAAATGACCTGACATGATCACGACCAGGTTTCTTCTTGAATTTATGTCCAAACGAATTCAAATACTTGCAAACATCACCTTGTCCTTTGTTTGGCCCACTTTCGCGAACAAAACCTTCACTCAAAGCAATCGACTCAAGAACACGCAAGGCATCATCATAGATGCGAATGCGAGAGAAAGTCCTTCCCGAGCCATTGCTCTCATCACTGTTTCGTGTTGCTTGAGGAAACAATTGCACGGGTGGTATCGATGCTTGATGATCTCCAGTTTGAGTCTGTTGTCTGGTATTCGATAATATGTCACAATAACTCATTTCTTGCTCTAAACTTTCAAATTTTGTGTACAAGTATTCATATCAGCGCGTGCGTGGAGGGGCCGCCGCGATTCCTCTGTGGATTCAAATATCCTCTGTGAGGAGATAAGGAGGGGGTAGGGTGGTTGGGGGGGGAACTTCTGTACCATGCAACCTCTCTTTTGTACCAATATGTTTTCATACAGTACAATCTATACTACCATGTATGTGATGGGTAAAACTAAAATTGCAGTACCTCTAAAACCAAGGCGGGGTAAGGGTTCCACGCCAGGGGAATTCAAATCACCCCACCCCGCTTTCGCCCAGTCTCTCTACCCCCCTTTGATTGGTGAAAACAGGGGGTAGTCAGCAGGGAGTGTATATACGGACCCCATGTGAACCCCAATAAAAGTAGAAAAAAAAAGACCAGCGCTGCAGCGATGGGTTTTGAGGGGCGGGGAGCCTCGGAGGAGGCGCAGGTCCTGATCGACGGGCGCCTGATGGCCTGAGTCAGTGCTGGGCTGTCGCATCACCGGCCGGCCCGCTGTCCCTGACCGTCGTACTACTGCGGCGCGGCGGCTGCCCGCGGGGGCCAGCCGGCGTCCTGCACAGCGGCACCCGGCGAACGGGAGTCTTACCACTTCGGCAACCTGCCGGACCTCGGGCGCTTCCTCGTGCAGAGCCTGACGCAGCGCGACTTCTGATCCGAGGGGTCCGGCCGCGGCCGGGCGTGACGCCGGCGGGCCGCGGGCCCACAGGGTGCAACCGCTCCGATTGATAACCGTAAATAACGGTAACGGAACCATTTATTAAAATTTATTGAAAGGTACCAGTGTTTCAATAAGTTATTTTAAAGCAGTAGAGAAATAAAATACCTAAAAAATATGGTAGAACTACTTTGAATTCCATTGGTCAATTTGGTAGGTGGGGTCCATGAAGAACGGGGTGATCATTGAGAAGTCACCGGATGTACGAATATTTACTAATGATACAATAGAGAAAACAAGTGCCATTTGACATTATTGATAAACTATATGTTCTTACTGGGGGTAGGGGTGAATAGAAGAGGGGTGGACTCCCAGGGGTCCTGGAGGAGGGGCGCCATGAGGCTTGCGGTGACGGAGGGAGGGAGGAGGATGGGGGAAGCAGGAACAGGATGTGGGTGGGTAGGAAGCGAGCTTTTCGTTTGTTGTGATGATAAAGCTGTTCACAAGCTCAATGCTGAAGGAGACGAACCTGGAGTCGTCGCGCAGCTCGACGCCTATCCAACGGACATGCACTGGTTTCCGTCTGGCAACAAGAAGCAGCAGAGCGACACGGTTGCAATCTCATGCTCGGATGGTACCTACCTTCTTGTCCTGAGGAATGGTAGAATCGAAAAGAAGATCGATGCCCACAAAGGAGCGGTGATCTGCATTCGGTGGAATCATGAAGGCACGGCGATAGCCACTGGAGGAGAGGATGGGATTGTGAAGATCTGGTCACGCTCCGGCATGCTGAGATCGACTCTAGCTCAAACTGATGTCTCAGTGTACTCTTTGTCCTGGTCTCCCGACTCCAACTCCATCTGCTTCTCTTCCTCAAAAGATCTTATCATCAAGCCGCTCCAGCCACAAGCCAAGCAAGTGACGTGGAAGGCGCACGATCAAACAGTCCTCAAGGTCGACTGGAACTCTGTCAATGGATTCTTAGTTTCTGGAGGCGAAGACAGGAAATACAAAGTTTGGGACAACTTTGGTCGTCTTTTGTTTGCTAGCAAGCCGATGGAGTTCGCCATCACTTCAGTCTCATGGTCCCCCAACGGAGAGCTGTTTGCCGTTGGGCTGTATAACTGCGTCCGTCTCTGTGACAAGACGGGTTGGTCACATTCCAGAGAGCGAACTGATACTGGAAGCATTATGTCCGTCGCATGGACATCGGATGGCGCGCAACTAGCAGGAGTGGGAGCCAATGGAAACATCATCTTTGGGCAGGTTCTGGACAGAAAGGTTGAATGGGTGAACATTGAAGTGACGCTCAAGGGAACGCACAAGGTGTTAGTGCATGACATTCTGAGTGAGATGGAAGAAGATCTTGACTTTCGTGACCGCGTCATCGGAATGGCTGTAGGCTTCGGTTACCTGGTAGTTACCACGACGCTACAATGTTACATTTACCTGCTTCAAAACCTGAACACGCCTCACATCTTCGATCTGAAAGAGACCGTGAACTACATTCAGCTCGGAGAGAAGCACATGGCGATGGTGGACGTCAATGGCATTCAGGTTTTCAACTACGAGGGGAGGATGGTGAGCGCGCCCAAGTTTCAGGGTATGAGGTCGGAGGTGTTCAACTCCCAGACAGTGAGCATGAGCTCGGACATCATCGCCATCATCGACCACAGTGACACCAAACTCATCCGCTTCTTCGACCTTGCGACTGGGAAAGAGGCCGGAAAACCTCTGCAGCACGTCCTGGACGTTACCTGTGTGCAGATGAACCGCTGGGGGACCTCGGCTCAGCGCAAGTGCGTCTTCCAAGACCGAAATCGAGATCTGTATATCATTCCTGTCGGTTCAACTGCAGCGGGCACAAAGGACGTCGTGCCTTTCAAGCTTGGTACCATGTGCGATTCTGTAATGTGGAGCTCAGAAACCGACATGCTTGCTGGTATCATGGATTCGAAGCTTGTAGTGTGGTACTATCCAAATGCCGTATTCATCGATAGAGACCTGATCTCAAAGACCAAGAATATTCAGAATGATCCTGAGTACGGCAAAGATCCACAGATCCAGCAGTTTCACGGAACACAGGTCGTGGTTCGAAGAAGCGACGGGACGCAGCTGAGCACGAGCGTCTCACCGTATCCCATCACCTTATACGGCATTGTGCAGAGGAACATGTGGGAACATGCGATCCACTTCTGCCGGTATGTGAAGGACAGCACTCTGTGGGCATGTCTTGCTGTGATGGCGCTGGCGGACAAGGAACTCAGCACAGCCGAGGTAGCCTTCGCAGCCATCGACGAGGTCGCAAAACTCGAGTTTGTGCTCGCAATCAAAGACATCCCAACCGTTGAAGGCCGAAATGCAGAGCTGGCTCTGTGGAGACGTCGGCCGGATGAAGCAGAGGCGATACTGATTCAGGCTGGTCTCACGTATCGGGCGATCAATCTCAACATGAGGCTCTTCCGCTGGGAGCGAGCGCTGGAACTTGCCGTCAACCACAAGACTCACGTCGACACCGTCTTGGCAATGCGCGAGCGATACTTGAAGGGGATGGGAAGAGAAGAGAAGGACTCGAGGTTTCTCCAGTACAAGGAGGGTGTCGTGATCGACTGGGAGAAGATCAAAGCTAAGGTGGCGAAGGAAGCTGAGCTGGAAGCTGCTCGGCCAAATGCTCGCCCATATCAAGAATAGCAGGAGCTCAGAATGTTGATAGAGAGACCATGCGCAGCAGACGCGGATAATACGATGACATGTGAAACATCTTAAACTACCTTGAAGACCTCTTCTCTCTCTCTATCTCTCCCTCCAACATTCGTGCTTTCATGTCCCTGACAGCCGAGGCGGCATCTGCAGCGTCAAAGATGTAGCTGATGACGGCAACGCCGTTGGCTCCCGATCTCATCACTTGATCGCAGTTCCTGTCGTTGATGCCTCCTATACCAATCAGGTTGAGGCGGGGAAAAGACTCGCGAGCCTCTTGGATAAGCTTCAAGCCCTCCACCTCCACCTTTTCCGGATGAGAATCTGTCCGAAAGATGGTGCCAAGTAGAACGTAGTCTACTCCTGCTCCAGCTGCCTGTCTAACAGACTTCACGTCATGTGCTGAGACACCCACTATGCCACCCTCGCCCAGAGCATCCCTAGCAGCTTTGACCGTCTCCACAAAGTCTTGCTCCAGGAATCGTTGAGGAAAGTGAACGCCATTAGCTCGTACCGATGTAGCGCAACCAATGTCGCCATCTCCTACGATTATTTTCGATTTGCTCGCTCCCACAGCCTCCTTGGCCTCCTTGGCCAACCTAAACCTTCGACTACTCGAGGAGGACGGAGCACGAACAAGAATAGCATCGCATCCATGTCGACAAGCCTCTGCTAACTTCCTCTTCCACCTATTGACGGTTTTCCTCTCCCTCGCTCCCTCCTCCTCCTCCTCCTTCTCCTCCTCCTCCTCCTCCTCCTCCCTGGTTACAGCGATGATCCATGCTTTCATTCATTTATTTCATTCATACCGAATAACCCACCCCAACCATACCACTTCACAGACCCCTCCTTCTCCTGTTTAGTTACAAATAACATCATTCATAGGTAGGGGTCACCCGATACCACTATGTACCCCTAGTTTTAACCAGTATTTGGTAGGGTCATCATTCATCGAAGGGGTAGTTGACCATCTTTGAACTAAACTTGCGCCAAGGGACGCGGGCATGGCGACGGCGTTCAGCGGGGGAGGAGGTGGCGGAGGTGGCGGAGGGAAAGGCAAGAGAGGATTCCTCCTCGGCCTCTTCATCTTGGGAGGAGTCGCCGCCATCTGTCTCATGCTCTCGGCTGTTCGTCATACCCATCGCGTGAGTTTCATGGAGCTCGTCTCTTGATTTCTTCTCCTCAACTTTCCTCATGTGAACAACCCGCGCTTGCCTCTAACTTTGTTGCTCAGGCCGTCATGATTCAAACACCAAAGATGTCGGGCCCATTGAAACTCTCGAATGATCCGGTGCTGCGAAACCTTCAGATCAAGGCAAGAGAACTGAGGAAGGAGCTCAAGACTCGGGCTGAGCATGAGAGAGACGAACAGCTGGCTCTACTCCACACCCTAGAGCACAAGAAGAAGCTCCTGATGGAGGATGAGCAGATTGAGAAGCAGCAAGAGAGCAGAAGTAACTCTGACCTCACCAGAGCTGATGGAGAGCTGTCTCGCTCGCTGCAAGATGATTTGATCAAACTTCACAACCTTGAGGCCATGCAGACGTTCTTGGACACGAAGAAGGCCAAGAAAGCAAACCTCAAGCAGCTCTCCAACGAGCAGATCAGGCATGACAAGCTGGTCGAACAACATGACCTGCTTATTGCGAAAATTAAGGCGTTGCAGCATCACCTTCGGGGGATTCGAGTAGCTCCAAACAAAGACAATGAGGCCGAGAACTCGCTGATCGATCCTTCACTACAAGACAAGCTGAAGGATCTCAAATCTGCTGGGCACAAGCAGGAAGCTATGTCGCCGTCCTCGCTCGGCGATGTTCAACGAAGAATCAAGACGGCTGCGAAGCTCATCTCCGACGCGAGGTACATTCTTGCTTCCAGAGCTGATGCCAAGACCGAGCATGAGCCAGCGGTGATCTCTGCAAGATCAAACTTGCGAAAGGATCTTGACGCAATGGAGACGGTGCTCCTGTCGCTGACGCGTCGCAGCCTGGATGGGGATAATGCAGGCAAGCAGCTCGCCATGAAGTTGGAAAAGCTGGTAGACCAGGCGATGGTCGAAACCGATATTCTCCTGGATTCGCATGACAAGTCGCATGTGGAGGGGCAGCTGATGAAGACGGAGATGAGTGACGTTCAACGTCTGCTGGAGTCGAGCTCCTTGTTCGGACCTCTCGCTACTAAACAATCGCTGAAGTCTTCGAGCAAGATAAAGAGTGCGAGCAGCCTTGGGCTCAAGGGCAAGAGAGAAGAAGCAGCCGCTTCTCATGATATCCCCAAGTCGCAAAGAGACAAGCTTGCTTCCATCGACAACACCATGACGAGGAAGCGAGCACTGAAGCTCGCGGAGACTGCCTTGCAGGGAAGTGTGGACTACTTGAAGCGGCTCGACCCCAAGGCTCCTTCGTTGGCAGATGTGTCGAGCTCGAGCTACTCCAAGTGGCAGGAGAAATCAGCTGTGTCGCACGCAAAGCTCCTTGCCATGCGACGAAAGCTCAAGGGCCTTCTGAGAAACGTTCTGGACACGAAGGATCTGAACAGCCGTCAGGATAGAGAGCTGAACGCGGACATCGCTACTCTTCTTTCTGTGACAAGCGCGGCTGATCCGAAGGAGTACGATAAAATGCTGAAGCAAGCGATCAAGCAGAACGAGAATGTCTTGTCTTCGTTCAAAGATGCAGAAACTTCAGCGGACCGCAACATCAATGACGAGCTTTTAACGGCGGACTCTGTGTTTTCTGATGTGCCCGAGAAGCGGAAAGTCAAGGACAATGAGGTGCAAGAAGCGATGAGGGCGGCCCATGAGATCGAGCAGAAGATGCACCTCGTCTTTCCCCAGGGCAAGGAATTGAAAATGCCGAGCGTGCCGAAGCACAGGCCCGGCAACTACATCCCAGGCATCGGGCTAGTACACAAGCAGCAAAGTTTCTTGAGCGAGCTGTGGAAGCATCACCGTGTGCCTATCTCAGAGGCAGAGAGGAGGATGGACCCCACCTCTGCCCACCTGCGGGTATCTACGGGTCCCAGGCTCAATGACGACGGTTCACTGAAAGTCAAGAGTGCTGGAGGTCCAGCTGGGGGGGTCGAGCCAAGCGGGTGGGCGGTGGCGCAGAGGTCAGCGAGGAGTGCGATGAAGGACGGGAAAGAGGTGGGACGAGCCTTCGAGAACGCCATGGGGTGGGCCCTCAACGGCATAGCGACCGACAGGCACAGCAGAGCGACGGGGAGTAGCGGAAACTCGCTTTGGAAGTACATTTAAAGGGAGAAACTCGTTAATCGCCCCTCGTGTTGTTTAGCTAACCCGTTTATATGAAAACTCAGAAAGTCTCCCTGGGGATAGGCCGGCGCTTTTCAGGCTGGTCACAAGTGCACATAAGAGCCATTGGACCCTCGCCCTCCATCCTCCTTCCCGGCCATCCCCCCACGACCTGCTGACCTGCTCGGACTCGCGGGCACGGCAAGGGGCAGCGGCTTAGTCCCGCTGTCACGGTTCCCCTGTGGAACCATGCTTCGCCCGTCGCCTGCTGCTCTAGCACGAGAGCAACTGAGGTCGCTCAGTCCTCCTACCATCAAGTCCCTCATGATACTCCGCGTGCTCCACCCGGTTGTCTCCTCTGCTGATCTTCGCTGTTCTTGCCCTCTCTGAGGACTCGTAGAGCTTGTGCTGCTTGAACCCGCCCAGGTCTTCGAGACGCCCACGAGACTCGCTCCTTCTTTCCTTTGATGCACATTGAGCTTGAGGTTGAGCATGCTTCTTGGATCTTGTGACGCAGGTTCTCTATCCTCGAAAATGGAGAAATGCGATCGTTGGTGTAAACTCGTGTCGTAGGCGGGAGCAAAACCAGCAGCTCCATGCAGTTTGTTCGTTCCCCCTGAGCTGGGGAGCCGAGGGAAGAGCTCGTCGATGTCGGGCAGGAGGCCCGTGTAGGACTGGAACTCCAACCTGGTGCCATGTACCCGGAGTTTGGAGCTCTTGTCCAGCATGAAAATTCTGTCTGCCGGGATCCCCACGGCCTTGTAAGCAATTGCGTCAGTCTCGTGGTTGCCGAAGCCAGCGACGAACACGCTGGTTTCAGTGCCGAGTCTCGAGCCCTTGCGGGCCTCGTCGAAGAGCTCTCTTATCTGCTGCAGCACTCCGACCTTGAAGACCTCATGCTTCGCCTGCAGCGCCTTCATAGTCCCGCACGCTTGCGTGATCAGCGGCCCCTCCGGCAGCGTCGAGTCGCCTACACGTCCAGCAGTCGCCAGAAACTCGCGGGTGCGGTCGGCGAGGGTGATGGGGCGGGCAGTGAGGAAGAGGAGGACGTAGCCCGCCTCACCTACGGCCGTCAGGAACTCTCGCACACCCTCATGCGTGTAGTCTGCGGTGAAGGCAGAGCTGAGGTCAGGGGCCCAGGGGTTGGAGGAGGTGAAGGCGTTGGAGAGGAACGAGGCCGTTCCCTGGATCTGCGAGGCCACCAACCCCCGCACGTCTGACCGTGTGATGGTCCCGTCAATGTCCACAACCACCAGACGGTCGGTCTCGTCCAGCAGCCACAAGCTCGCCGAACACACGACGGGGTCGGAAGTCACTTCCAGGAGGTGAAACTCAATGAGGTTCTTGCCCTTGGTCAGCGGGATGGTCGACAAGACCTCGCTGCGGGGACGGAGGTCGCCACCGGGAAACTGAAAGCAACCCTGCTGCTGGTTGTTGAGCATCTTGAGCTCTGTGTCGCACTTGTTCACGTGGATCGACACCCAGGCGGTGGAAGAGATGGACTTGTTTGGCAGCAGGTTGAAGTCTGAGCAGCGGATCTTCCCGTCCTTGCGGATGAATGCGATCACGTCCGTGGCATGGAGCTGAGCCAAGCCGGTCACAAGCTCCATCGTTCAGTCAGGCAACGCAAACAAGTGTCAGCAGATGGAGCCCAAGAACATGTAAGGCTTCGCCCTTGTCCTTCCTGCTCAAAACGCAAAGAGAAATGATGGCTGGAGAGGAAGTACCATGAAAACTTGAAGATACATCCCTCTTGAACACGAATTATGGTGTTTGCAACCAAAGTTGTCTGACATTCGTATACCCTACGTGATGTTGTTCTCCGAGAGCCAGTATTTGAACCACAGAGTGCTGCTGCTCCTCCTCGCTCGAAGCTTCTTCTCTTCTCTTCTCTTCTCTTCTCTTCGCTTCTTCTCTTCTCCCTCCTGCTCCTATTTTATCTCGACTGTCTTTATTAGGTTTTAAACATTTGTGACTAAAAGCTATTTACCAATACGAGGTACAAACGTATATCGCTGTGGTACTGATACTAAATTTATGTTATATCCTTGTAGTATTGTTCCATGGGATCTATAATCATATTTTAAAATTGTAGAATTGCACAATTCGGGAGAAATAGCTCGAGCGTCATGGCAGTGAGGAGGAGGAGGGAGCAGGCGGAAGAGCGACCAGCAGAAGGTGACATGAGCTCCTGAACTCTTCCTCCTCCTGGCCTTGCTGACCTTCTTCATCTTCCTTCTCTTGCTGACATTCTTGATCTTCCTCCTCCTCCTCCTCCTCCTCCTGACCTTCCTAATCTTCTTGATCTCCTTCTCTTCCTAATCTTCTTGATCTCCTTCTCTTGCTGTCTTTCCTGCTCTCCTTCTCTTTCTCTCCCTTTGCCGTGCAAGACTTTACCCTCGCCAATTGAACTGTCTTCCGTTCATGATTGTGTGATGCTTGTGGCTTCTACAGACTTCATTGTTTAGTTCAAGTTCTGACGTCTCCACAGAACAACTGGATTTACCCAACCCACTCACCCTTCGGGCGGTTGGAAAGATATTTCAGAGGAGGTGGATTGTTCCAGCTGCAGTCATTGCTGTCTGTTTGTTTGTACATGTGTCCGGAATCTTCTCGGATGACGTTGGAGGAGGAGTCAACCCGGCGGCCTTCAATTTCTCGGAGAAGCTCGTCAAGCCTCTTCAGTATGCCCGGTATGGCTTAGCTGGCGGCGCCATCTTCGCGAGTGTCATGTGGGTCCTCGTCGTCTCTCTTTCCGACAAGGCCGAGGGGAAGCCGACAGGACCGTCGGAACACTGGGCACAGAACGACGCGATGCTCCTTGCTGTGCTGCTGGGGCTCGGCATGGCAACAGGAGCAGTCTGTGCCTTCGCTGGGTACGCCATCTGGGACATTCTGAGCCAGAACTTGATGAAGCCGCCGGTCGGAGGATGAGGGTGAGGCGAGTGACTCGCTTGTCCTAAGAGGAGTCGGCAGCGAAGAACTGCTCGATACTCTTGACGAAGAAGGAGCTCATGGCTTGCAAGGACTCAGTCGTTACTCCAGCCACATGCGGCGTGAGCTCGACGTTAAATCCTTCCTGGCGAAGTTGCTCCAACTCCTTCAGTCCACTCTGATCCCCCTCGTCGTCTATGAAAGGCTCTGCATGTTTCAGTCAGCAAAGATCTTGTGATATCACTGCCATGCTCTACAACCTTTCCAAAACACGTCCAGCCCGATGCCTCCTAGTCTCTTCGCTCTCACAAGCTCTAAGAGCTCTTTGCGGTTCACGATGCCTCCCCTTGCCACGTTTACGACGAAAGCACCAGGGTTGAGGGCGAGCAGCACGGAGCGGTCGACGAGGTTGAGTGTGTTGGCAGAGAGCGGGCAGCAGACAATCAAAATGTCGCGATCCCTCGCCATCTCCACCAGTCCCGCTTGCCCCGAAACGGTGAAGCTGCCGGCTCCTGACACCATCGCCCGATCCCCTGCCGGCCAGTCGCCGCACCGAAACGCGACGACATCGGCTCCCAGGCACGTCAGTCGCCTTGTGATCTCCTGGCCGAGCCCTCCGAAGCCGACCACCAGCGCTCTCTTGGAGTGAATGGTTGTCCCCGCCGGAAGGCCCAGCAGCCTCTCCTCGAGCGATGCTCGCATGGCCCTCGGGTTCCTCATGATCGACATGAGCAGATAGATCGCATGCTCTGCCGAAGAAATGGCGTTGGCTGACTCGCCCGCGGGGATGTTCCTCACAGCGACGCCATGCCGCTCGGCTGCGTCCTTGTCCACCCCCTCGAGACCTGCTCCGAACTGATGGATCAGCTTCACGCCAGACCTGCTGGCTGTCGCCACCAGGCTCGCGTCGATCCTCGTCATGAGAGGAACCACCACATCCACCGCGTGTGACGCCATCTCCTCCTCGAGCCCAGCTCGATCCGACGCCAGCAGGTTCCACGTCGGCCTCCTCGAACGCGTGGCATGCAGCGAGAGAGGAAAGTCTCGACCGCAGAAGAGGATGGTCAAGCGAGCATGGCGGGAAACCTGGTGGCCCCGGGCGATGCTGCTGCCGCTGCATCTCCACCGCCTCGTCGCCTCTGCACGGCGAACAGCCAACAATATAGGCATGCTCGCATGGCTAGCGAACCTGCTCATTGCTAACTGTCTGGCAGGGGGCTGCACTGGAAGAACAGCGCTTCTAGATGGGGTGTAGCAGGTGGAAAAGGGAACAAGAAGAACAAGAAGAGAACAAGAAGAGAACAAGAAGAGAACAAGAAGAGAACAAGAAGAGAACAAGAAGAGAACAAGAAGAGAACAAGAAGAGAACAAGAAGAGAACAAGAAGAGAACAAGAAGAGAACAAGAAGAGAACAGAACAAGGAGAGAACAAGGAGAGAACAAGGAGAGAACAAGAAAAGAACAAGAAGAGAACAAGAAGAGAACAAGAAGAGAACAAGGAGAGAACAAGGAGAGAACAAGGAGAGAACAAGAAAAGAACAAGAAGAGAACAAGAAGAGAACAAGAAGAGAACAAGGAGAGAACAAGGAGAGAACAAGAAGAGAACAAGAAGAGAACAAGAAGAGAACAAGAAGAGAACAAGAAGAGAACAAGAAGAGAACAAGAAGAGAACAAGGAGAGGAGAGATCAAGGAGGAGGAGATCGAGGGATCGAGGGAGCTAGGATGGTTCGAAGGTGGAGAAAGGTGGCAACAACTCAGGGGGGGAACGGGTGATTGCCGTGCTTCCTTCATCCTTCTCTTTGCTCCATGTGTGTCGGTGCGGTGACAAGACAGGGTATGACAACACTGCTAGATGAGCTCAGAGCTCGCTCCTCGTCGTCCTCCTTCAGCGCGTCCTCGTCCTCCCCCTGCGAGTGGAGAAGTTCCGTGGGTTCCTGGATTGAATATGCACGCCGTCTGATATTCCATGGCAGGAAAACAGTGGAAGAGAGAGGGGACGACGGGATTGCCGATGATGATGAAGTGGAGGACGAGGATATGCATCTCGAGACTGACTGTGCTGCGTCCTTAGACTTGGTTGTTCTCTGTCAAGACGGCCATGACGACGTCTGATATCGCTAAGATGGGGTTCACCAACATCGTGAGCAAGGAGGCAGCCCTGGACAAGGTTGACAGAAGCTGCAGATTCTCTTGGATGCGAATCGATGGCGGAGTGAAGGAGAGGCTGACTTGCTGACGTCAGCGGCTGCGGCTGCTGCCGATGTCTTCTACTGTTTTGGGATGAAGGAAGCTATCCCTTCCTTGTCCGCCTCCCACAGGCAGCAGCTTCGGGACCAACTCGTGTGCTCGTTCTGCGGTCAGCAGCTGCTCTTGCCGCCATGACCTTGTGAAGCGCGAGGCAGGCAGGGGAGACCTTCTCGTCATCCTCCAGAACGCTGGGCTGCCGGATGAGAGCGAGCCCGGAATGGTGAGCGCCAGCCGCCGCTCGCCGTTGGCTGAGGAGGAAGCAGGTGATGGTGGGGCGACTGGTTGATGCCATCGAGTCGGCGTACAACGAGGCGTCGGAGAGGATGGTGAGGTGGGCGGCTGCTGGAGGTGAGAAGTGAGTTGGTGTGACAGGTGGAGGACATGGCGGGAGTCAGGTGGAAGGGAGGAGGAGGAGGAGACTCGATCTGACAGGTTGCAGTGTCGTGTTGGAGTCTTGCTCGCTCCCTGTGCTGTCCGTCTCGTGGGATGACGAGAGACAGCGGAAGATCGAAGTCACGTCAGCATGACAGGCAGGGAGCGTAATCTGTTCGCTTGCTTCATTTGTCGTCAACCAGCACCCAAGTCTCCAGTGACCCGAACTTGTCGTTGGCCATGCTCTTACTCCTCTCCTCCTCTTCCTCCAACCCCAACACCCTCGCAGGTCTCGCGTACCTCCGATAAACGTCCACCTGGATGAAAGCTGAGCTGTAGGGAGAAAGGGGAGGGGAGCTAGAGACCTCGGGTCCTTCTTCGCGCGTGAAGGCATAGAGGCTGGTCTGAGGCAGGTGGCAGAAGCAGCTCAGTCGCTCCTCTTGCTGGCTGGTCTTGGCATCCACAGCTGACTGTAGGTCCAAGTAGTTGGTGTAGTTCCGGTCAGCAGGCACGTCCACGAGCTGCTGGAGGAGCTGCTGGAAGGAGCGGCTGCTCCTTCTCTTGCTGCGACTGCGAGGGGAGGACGCGAACAAGTCCGGCAGGTCCTCCGGGAGCTGCACCAGCTGCGCCACCTGCTGTGAACTGCAGACTTTGACCTGCACGCTCGTGAGCTCGTGAGCCGACTGCCACGTCAGCACCTGCGCTCCTTGCGGGGAATACAACCAGTCGTACTTGCCCAACGCCCCTTTATGCGCAAGTCAGAGAGGAAGAGAGAGGGAGGCATGAGACCTCTGCTCCTGGAGGGAGCCTTCTTATCCGCCTCTTCCTCGTCCTCCTTCATCGAAGAACTGCAGGGAAGATCACTGGAAGCAGCGTGTCTTCTCTTTGCCTCACAGCGGCTCCACAGATGGGCTTGAGGTCATGAAGGGAGCGAGGACGGGAGTGAGAAAGCGAAGAACGCTTCCCTGGGCACAAGTGACTTAAGTAGTAATAGGAGGAAGAGGAGGGGTGGGCGGTGGGGGGGGGCGGGGATGAATCCTAGCTCACATGTGAGCTCTTTTCCGAGGCGCCGGTCTGCACTTCTGACCCCATAGATTCTGCCGGGCGAGATCACAGGAGAAGCAGAGGAGGAGCGCACGTACCTGTGCTCCTCCTTGCGCTGTCAGCCGATCGGGAGCTGATGAAGCTCAGGTCTCGCCTATCCTGGTCGCAGTCTCGCGCACGAAGAGGAAGGAGGTGGCTGGACATCCGTCAGGGCAGAACGAGTGGGGAGGACGCGACTTGAGCTTGAGTATGTCGTCGAATGACGTGAGCCCCTTCGTTTCATGCGAGGAGATGAAGGAGAGAGCTGCGGGGGCTGAAGTGAAAGGCGGGAGGGAGAAGACGACATCTCACCTGGAGGATTTGAACGAGGAGGAGGAGACGGTTGGACTTGCTGCTGCGAGGCCTCGTGCTCTCCAACAGCTCGTTGCATCCAGTGGGTGTGGAGAGGAACGAGGGAGTTGGAGAGAAGCTTGTTGAAGAACCTCCTCCTCTGGTGCTCGTAGTCAAGCTCCTCCATCTCCACGTCCCACTGCCGCTTCCATTAGCATCTCACAAGAGCGAGAGGGGAGGAAAGCGAAGGAAAGCAAGGAGGGAGAAGGGGGCGTCAAGGAAGAGGAGGACGAGGAGGACGAGGAGGAGAAGGAAATTGAGACCAGCTGCGTTCGATATAGATCTGGTTGGAAGATTCCATGGAAGAGATCCATGGCCTTCTGTTTGTCTGAATCTGTGAAACTGTTCTTGTAATACCTGCAACGCTTTGAACCACCCTGCCACCACAACCAACACCACCACAACCAACACCATCACAACCACAACCACAACCACAACAACCACAATCACAACCGCCAAAACCACCATAACCACCATAACCACCATAACCACCACCTCCTCCTCCCCTCCTCTGTACCCTATCTTCGTCCATCTATCTCAAACTCTGTGCTTTGGACTCCTCTCCCTCCCTGACTTCGTCTCTTCACCTGTTAATGCTGACCATGATCGACTTCAGCTTGGCCTGTGCCCCAGTTCCTGACGGCCCTCCTTTCTTCTGAGCGTCAGTTCCCGCATACTGCTTCCTCCGTCAGCGCTCCTCCTCCATCTTCCTCCTCTTTGCCTGCTGTGCGATGCTGTTCCCCATCATGGTGTAGAGGTCGATCAGCTGCTGGCTGGCCAGTCCTGCCCCTGAGATGCTCTCCTCTGTCCAGTGACCGAGAGCTGCAAGCTGTTTTCTGACATGAAGGTGAGGAGGACGAGGACGAGGACGAGGACGAGGACGAGGACGAGGACAAGGACAAGGATAAGGACGAGGATGGAACAGGAGCAAGGGATACTCAGAGAAGCTGGGACAAGGAGGCGAGAAGCTCACGAGAGAGCGATGCAGCCCACGTGAAGTTGGCAGATGTTGGTTCTGTCCAGACAATCGACACAGTTGGTCCGCACCACTCCCTGCTGCTGAGTCTTGACTTGATGAGTGGCGGGCAAGGTGGAAGAGGGTGAGGAGGGAGATGCGCAGGACAGGAAGAAGGAAGTGGTTTCGATGAGACGCCTGCAATCATCTTCAGCTCTCGTTTTCCTCTTCCTCATCTCACTTTGCTAGCTTGGTCAGCGCATCACTGAGGGAGTCAGACCCTTGCTTCTTGTAGCTCGAAAAGTCCAGACGGACATGGTGGAGAAAATCCCCACTTCCTCCTCCTACCCCACTTCCTTCTCCTCTATCTCCTCCCTCTCCTCCTCGTTCGTCTTCGCTCTCTTTCCTTTCTTCCCCCTGGAAGGCTCGAGGGGTCTGATAGTCCCTCACTCCCTCTTGCAACACGCGAATCGCATTGGCGAGTTCGTCTCCGAGTTTCGTCTCGCGCGGCTTCTTCTCCGTCTGCTTCACAAGATCCACCGCATGCACGGGACGCCCGTACCTCTCCAGTAGCGAACTACAACATCATCACCTTTCGTCTGCCTTCCCTCCTTTTCCCCTCCTCCTGCCCCCCCCCTCCTTCTCCCCCTCTTCCTTGTGTCAGCAGCAGGCACCTGAAGTGAGCAGCAGTCGCATGATACATGCAGTCAAAGCGGTGCAGCTCGATGTCAGGCTTGGGCACCATGGCGTCAGTGACCTGAAGGAGCTCAGCTGGGAGGGAGCAGCCACCGAGCAGACCTGCGACCAGAAGAGAGGGACGGATCCTCGGACTTGAACGTAGGAGGAGCAGGAGAGGCGGGAGGTGAACCCTTGCTCACACACGATCTGCTCTGTCTCCACCTCGTTGGCCACAAACCCATCAAGTGTCGCTCCTCGCTTGAGGTAGCGCGTCCCAGCAAAGCAGCGTGACCGCCGGGCAATCAACGTCAGCCTCATTTGCCGCGAGACGATGACGACGGTTCGCTGCTCAAAGAAGCCATGGATTAGGCGCGTGGCCCAGGGCTTGTGGTGCAGCATGGAAAGAAACCCTCCTCCCTCCAGCAGCTGATGGTTCCAAGTGAACATCTTGCTCGCCTCTCCTGCCACGCGACTGCACGCATATGGGAGGCCTCCAAGGTTAGTCTGCAGAGTCTTGGTCAAGTCGTAGGAGCAGCTGAAGAAGCAGTCCTTCATCACGTCGTTCTCACTCATGTACCGCAGGTACTTCTCTTCTTTCCTCTTGACCTCTGCCCCCAAAGAAACAGCAGAGATGGGAAGGTATCGAACTTGCTCGACCGCGAAGACTTCATGCCCGCATATGTCGCCGACGAGCCTTCGCTTCTCGATCACTGCCATGTAGTACAAGTCCACAAACTTCACGAAGCCCAGCACCCCGTAGCACCCCATCACCTTCTTGAGCCCCACCAGACCCGGGAGGTTCAACAAGCGCTCGATGCGCTCTCGGCAAGCGTCCCGGTCGAATGTCTCCCGCTCCTCTCTGATCACTAGCTGCTTCTGCGACCTGCTGATGACCAGTAGCCGGAACACGCCTCCCCTCGCGTCGCCTCCCAGAACCTCTCGATCACTGGCGGGCTCCTCCTCTTCCATCGCGCCGGTTTCCCTCTGGCGTCCATCTCTGTCCTGCTCCTCTCTCATTCGACGAGAGAGGCCCACCATCACCATCGCCTCCCTGCTCTCGTACACCATCACCTCCTCCATGGTCGCCTCACCACCTCGACGAGGCGGGCCCACAGTCGACATATCGCTGCTAGCACGGGCCCGGTGCCGTTCGTCCTGGTCCGGCACATTAAATGAAATATTGAAATTCTATGATGAATTTTGAAAATTCTATATGAAATGTTTACGGGAGGGATTGTATTATGCCTCATGGAAACTAGTAACAGGGTTCAAATTTACTTAGGGAATTTGAAAACAGAGGGCTAAAATCGTTTTAAGCTGCAACACCGCTTTCATGGTGTATGGCGACTCCGGGAGGGAGGGAGGGAGGGAGGGAGGGAGGGAGGGAGGGAGGGAGGGAGGGAGGGAGGGAGGGAGCAAGTGATAGAATGATAAGAGAGAGAAAGAGAGACAGAGAGATAGAGATATAGACAGAGATGGAAGTAGTGACGAAAGGGTTCATTGGTGCAGGATATGAGAATGGAGATAGGACAGGGCAGGACAGGCGGTAGGGTTCGGGAGGGAAGGAAGGCAACAGAATTCGGCTGTAGGAGGAGATGTAACACATAGGTGTGAAGGGAAGAGTAGAAGAGAGGAATCTGCATTGATAGAGGAGAAGAGAGGTGTATGCATTGATAGAGGAGAAGAGAGGTATCTGCATTGATAGAGTAGAAGAGAGGAATCTGCATTGATAGAGGAGAAGAGAGGTGTATGCATTGATAGAGTAGAAGAGAGGTGTATGCATTGATAGAGGAGAAGAGAGGTGTATGCATTGATAGAGTAGAAGAGAGGAATCTGCATTGATAGAGGAGAAGAGAGGTGTATGCATTGATAGAGTAGAAGAGAGGTATCTGCAGAAGAGAGGTGTATGCATTGATAGAGTAGAAGAGAGGTGTATGCATTGGAATACTTTATCCATGTGCATTTTGTTGTTGCACCGAATCCATGGTGATGTGAGTAGTAAAAGCCATATGATGGCAAGGGATTTGGTTTTCCTAGAAGCTGTTGTGACTGATTCGGTTCTAGAGCATGCAGATTCTTGATAGCTTGGGTTTGCACAAGACGAGTACGTGGCCTACCCTGCTGCTGGCATGTGTCGCTGGAGGTATCTCGTCTGCCTGCTCTCTGAGGGGTTTGACTTTGCTCCAAGTGTCTGCCTATCAGACGATCCCGCGCTTCCCTGGCGCTGCCCTCGTAAGACTTCCATGCCTGAACATCAAGTGCTTGTAACCCGCTCTCGCAGTCTCGAGGCCCAGCATGCGGGTACCGGTCGGCCCATCAGCTAACACGTGCTTGAGGAGTCGTGCGTGCATCTTGTTCTGACTTGAGCGACAGCTCTGAGGGGGTTTTCGACCGAGTCCAGGAGGTCGGGAGGAGGTCACGTGAGACGGGGAGGGAGCGACTGAGTCCTTGCAGGGTCGGGCCGAACCTGAGTAAACGATGCATGCAAAGGTGGAAGGAGATCAGGTTGTGGGGTTGTGGAGGTGACAAGGCGACTGAAAGTGTGCGGGGAAGAACTGGAGTCGCCATGATGCAAACCAACGACAAGACCGAGACAGACCGAAGATTGGTGAGCGGATTGATCTCTGCGACAACGTTTGACGTTTGACGATTGACGTACCCCAGCAATCTGAAGATGAGAACAGTCTGGTGAAGAAGCAAGCCTCTATCTCTCCCCTCGCTCATCCTCACTTTAGGAGAATGCAAAGTTTCAGAGCTACCAAGGAGAAATTTTCTGCAACCGGTTGGTTACCTGATCAGATCCCTTAGATCTCGTGATGTTGATCGGAATGACATGCAATGTGATGAGTTCGTGTCGATGGATCAGAGTCGAGGGTCAGAATGACTCACTTTGATTCGCTCGATGCGTTTCTTTCATCTTCTTCTTTGGGGTTTTCTGCACAAATTGACCTGCGTATCCTTGATATCCTTGTCTCGGAAGCCTTGTGTCGCACGGGAACTGACGGCTTGATCAGAGCATTGAACATGAAGAGAATCCGTGCGATCGGGTTTGATATGGATTACACTCTTGCCCAGTACATACCGGAGACGTTTGAGATCCTGTGCTGCATGCTTGTGCTGGTGTGACCTGCTGATCCGCGACCAGTGCGATCCATGGAGCGCTGGAGAAGCTCGTGAAGCACATGGTGAGCAGACGCCGACAGTGGTGCAGGCTGACGACCAGCAGGGATACCCGGAGGAGATTCTGAGCCTTCCGGAGTACGATCCGAGCATGTTCCAGCGAGGTAGGAGCGAGGAGGAAGTAACGAGGTGAAAGGAGAGTTGACTTGGTGCGCAGGTTTGATCATCGACAAGGTGGGGAGCAGGCGCGTTGCTGGAAGCGCTGACGAGACGCAGGAGAGAGGCAACATCATCAAGATGGACAGACATCACTATGTCAAGGTCGCCTTCCACGGGATGCGCGCGATGGAGAAGGTGATGGTGGTGAGAGACTCGCAAGCAGTGAAGGGATCGTGTGCAGGAGGAGAGGCTGGCGGTGTACGGAAGTCAAAGTCAGAAGGTTGGAGATGAAGCTGAGCGGGGCATGAGTTGAGGCCCCGATACAGGACTTCTCGGACTCAGAGAACTTCGCCAACATCGACACGCTCTTCTCGCTTCCCGGTTGATGTCCGGGTTGATGCCTGATTGTGACCTGATTGTCTTGGCAAGATGCGTTCATGTACTCTCAGCTCGTCACCTTCGTTGACGACAATCGCAACAAGTTGTGCCTGACCTCCGCCTCCTCCCCCTGTCGTCTTGTCCTCCCTCCATCCCTCGCCCAGCCTCGTCAACGTCTCCTCGTCACGCTGCTGCGGCAGGTTTCCTGGTCTGCTCTCCAAGAGCTACAAGCAGATCTACAAGGTGCTTCTCCTCCGTTTCCGCAGGGTCTCAAGGTCTGCAGGACGTGCGAAGGAGCGTTGATCTGTGTCACCGGGACGGTGTGATCAAGGACAAGGTCGCGCAAGACCCAGGTGAGATGCAGAGAGAGGAGGAGGAGCAGCTGAGGACGAGACAGGCAAGTACATCCAGTCAGAGCCTGGGATAGTCGACATGCTCCGCCGCTATCGCCGGTCGGGACGGAAGGTAAGGGGGAGAAGTGAGATATGGTGGGCGTGAAAGATGAGAGGCGGGAGAGAGAGGAGGATGGAGCAGAGACCTCATTTGCTGCAGGTGTTTCTGCTGACCAACAGCTTGTGGGACTACACGAATGTAGTGATGAACTTCATCTGCGGGAACATGTTGCCGTTACTCCTGCTCCCTGCCTCTGCTGACGCCTCTCGTACAGGAAGAAGGAGGACTATACCCTCGACTGGCTCTCCATGTTCGACCTCGTCATTGTCGGAGCCAACAAGTTCGTGACCTCCCTGCCATTCCCCTACTTCCTCTTCCCTTCTCTTCCTCCCCTGAACTTCTCCTTGCGAGCTTGTTGTCTCTCTCTCTCTCTCGCTCTCCTGCTTCCCCCTCCTGTCCTTCTCAATGCTCTTCTCCTCCTCTCACTCACTGCAGACCTGCTTTCCTCGAGAACGGCAAGCTCCCGATCTTCCGGGTGCACACAGAGGATGGAAGGCTGAGCAACCTCGAGAACGGTCTCATCTCACTCCTACCCCCCCGTCCTCCTCCCCAACCAACACACCCCACCCCTTCCTCCCGCCCTCCTTCTCTACTGCCTTTCTCCCCCTCCCCCGCCCTGCTGTACCTCCATCCTCCTTCTTCCCCTCCTCCTCTTCGATTCTCCTTGACTCGGGTTGGCAGCGCTATTCGACCCGCCATCGCAGACTCTGAGGGACGGGAAAGTTTTTCAGGCGAGGCCTCAGCGAGAGCGCAAGGAAGTCGCTGAGATTCTGACAGGGGGGGAACTTCAATCACCTTCATTACTTCATGAAGGATACAGTCAACGCGGGGGAGCAGGTGAACCCAAGCTCCTTCCTCCTCCCTCCCTACTCCTCCTCGCTTACGTGCTGCAGGTGATGTACGTTGGCGATCATATGTTCTCGGATGTCATCCGTGGGAAGCGAAGGTTGAACATGAACCACAACGACACATAGTCCTGCTCCTCCTCCCCCTCCCCCTCCCCCTCCATTGCTCCCCCTCCCCCTCTCCTCCTCCCCAGCCCATCCGTTGGTCCTCATTCTCCTTCCTGTTGCGTCCTTTCTCACCTCGCTGACAGCTTGGGCTGGCGAACTGCTCTGGTGGTTCCTGAGCTCCAGGTCAGTGGAGAAGCGAGGGAGGGAAGAGGAGAAGGGAAGAAGTGGAGGGGGGGGGGGGGGTGGAGCGGGGGCTGGAGCTGTTGGAGCTGACGGAAGAGGCAGCATGAGGTTGACGTCATGCTGCGAGAGAAAGTTCGCTCCAAGAGGATCCAAGTAGAATGACAAGCGCGTGACCTTCCCCCGAGCTGACGATTTCAAGGAACTCCGAGAGCTGAGAGACGAGCTGGACGAGTGGGTCGACCGGTGAGTGCGCTTGTGTGCTTGTTGCTGAGGTTGAGCTGGGAATTTTCAAGTCTGTCGCTCCTACTGGTGTCGTGCGACGAGGATGAAGCATGCGCTCTCACTGGTACGCGACTTTCTCCTCTTCCTCCAGCAGCTGACAAGGACTTGCCCTCGTCCCCTGCCCCTCCTGCTGCTGCTCCTCTCCTTGTCTCTCCGCTTCCTCGCAGATCGCCGAGAGTCCATCGCCTCCGAGCTAGAAAAGGCGAAGGAAGAGATCCGGACAGTGAGAGGCTCCTCCTCTGTCTCTAGCGAGGTTGACGGGAGGGCAGGTGAAGACAGTGTACGCCGAGGAGCTTCTTATGTATCACTCAGCTTTCCATCCGGTGAGGATCCAACTAGCAGAGACTCGCTGACACTCGCACAGGTCTGGGGGCAGATGTTCAAGGTGACGCCTCCTCCTCCTCCTCCTCCTCCTCCTCCTCCTCCTCCTCCTCCTCCTCCTCCTCCTCCTCCTCCTCCTCCTCCTTTCTTCACCTTCTCGAAGGTTGGCTATCAGAATTCGCGATTCGCTCAACAAGTGGAGAATTATGCGTGCTTGTACACGAGTAAGGTGAGAGAGGGGAGGCAGAGGACGAGGCGTGGGTGGGTGAGCCTATTGCTCGACAGGTCAGCAACCTCTGCCTCGTCTCTCCGGAGATGAATCATCGAACACAGGTAGATGCCAACACAACAATAACAAACCACTCCTCCACCTCCAACTCCACCACCACCACCACCACCACCACCACCATCATTGGCAGCCACTGACTGGAGAGCAGATGGATCTTATGCCTCACGATCAGGTTTGCAGCCTGACGCCTCCAGGAGTCTCACGGGATGGCAGTTGGAAGAGACTCCCATCCGCCGCATCCTACGAGCGAGAGCAAGAAACATCGTCGAGTCGTTGGGAAGCAGCGAGTGAGGGGCTGACATGGGTAGAGCAGGAGGAGTGGAGAGGAGCGGGGAGGAAGAGGTACAGGAATGAAAAAGCGTGGGGGAGAGACGAGTCTTACTTGGATCATATGAAATTTCTTTTCTTTGCTTTCGCTCCTTATCTCCTCCTGTCCAAGGATCTGGACGTCGTCCATCACGTCTGGAGCGATGGAACATCAGCATCGAAGCATCCATCAGCCTTCAATTCCCCGGAACTCCTTGAGCCGAACGATCAACCTTGACCAACAAGTCAGGGAGGGAGGAGGAGAGAAGGAGAAAGGGAGGCTTGCAAGCATGCGAGCAGATTGCGGTCAGGAGGGGAGGAAGTGAGATCGTACTCATCAGATCCCTCCTGACGCTCAAGCGTCGCCTCACAAGCTCGCAGCTCGCAGTTGTGAAACCTTCTCCTCACGACGCTGTCTGTGTCTGAGGTCAACCTCCTCCTCCTCTGCAGCAGTCCACCTGATCGAATGTTTGGATGACTGGGCGAGCTGAGGAGGAACGAGAAGATGCCTCCATGCGCCTGCAACACCCTCACCCTCAACGCCTCACCCTCGCACCTCCCCTAGTCTTCTCACCACCACAGCTATCTTCTTCTCTGCTCACCCTCGCACCTCCCCTAGTCTTCTCACCACCACAGCTATCTTCTTCTCTGCTCACCCTCGCACCTCCCCTAGTCTTCTCACCACCACAGCTATCTTCTTCTCTGCTCACCCTCGCACCTCCCCTAGTCTTCTCACCACCACAGCTATCTTCTTCTCTGCTCACCCTCGCACCTCCCCTAGTCTTCTCACCACCACAGCTATCTTCTTCTCTTCTCGCTGCAGCAACCACAGCAGCGCCTGGTATCCTCGCTCCACACAAGACTCCACAGGCTCTGAGTGCACATCAGTTGAGAGCGACTGAATCAACTTGCTCACCCAACTCTTCGGTCCACAACTCATCCTCCTCGGTCTTGACCTGCTCAAAGTTCCATGTCGGATTTCTGTCTAAAAGTCTCGTTATTCGCCTCCGCTGCTCCAGTGCCTCGCACCCATAAGCTCTCGTCTACTTCTCCTCTTGGCGTTGAGCAGCAGCCCTGAGATCTCCCTCAAGTCATCAAGGGAACATCTCTCCGCCTGCGCGTGAAGATGCTGAGGGAAGACAATGTTGGCTGTGTCGATCGCTCGTGTCAAGGAAGAGGCGACGATCAAGTCCATCGTCATGTTCATCCGAGCGAAGTCTCTGCCATGGAGAGAGACGAGTGAGATGTGAGCTCGGGGTCTTCTCTCTTACTCTCGCGTCTTCTCTGCTTGCTCGATCCCGATGCTTGTCAGATCAGCATCAAAAGCATCGTCCGCCCTCATGAGATTGATAAATTCCTCATGCGAACAGCCCTGGAGAGACTTCAACTTTCTTTCAACACCTCCCTCCCTCCCTCCCTCCCTCCCTCCCTCTTCTCCTCTCTCCCTCCCTTCCCTCCCCTCGTCTTTCTCCTCTTCTCCTCTGATCTTTTTGAGTGTGATTCGATTCCACACCCTCTCCGCTCCTTCCCACTCCTCCAACGCCACCAGCGCCAATTCAACCCCATCCTTCTCATTACAGACAGCACCCCCGCCACTCAGGTATGACCTGCGATCGAGCTGCTTCTGCCCGCGGGTTGTGCTGCGCCTGTCCATGTCGAACCAGCACGAGGACCTGTCAGCACCTCGTCATGAATCGTACGATCAGGCTGCGGGGCAAGGGAAGCAAGAGGCAGAACGAGAGGTTCGAGACAGAGTCCGAGTCAGAGGAAGCCGGCTGGCATAAAAGAATGAAGAGAGGATGGACGAGGGGTCGGTCAACCTTGCTGCCTTGAACCATGGAAGCGGTGGAGTAGGAACGAGAGGAGAGACCGGGTCTCGAGCTTTGGATGAGGATGGAGGGCAGAAAGCACTTGAACAAGTTCACACGAGTGATAGAGGACGAGGGGACGCGGGACCAACTGAAGCCCAGCATCAACCCACGAGCTCTCAGGCTCTCTAGCTCTCAAGATATCAAGATATCAAGGTATCAAGATCGCTCCTCTCCTCTCCTCTCCTCTCCTCTCCTCTCCTCCTCTCGCTCTCTCTGCTCCCTGTATGAGCTCCTGGGTCTTGAGCCGGCCGGGTCTTTGGCTGCGACCGGCCCTGAGTGACCGGCGGGCCCGGCCGATCCACTGCCACGTGACCACTCGGGCTCAGCCTCCGGTAGAATCGAGATTAGCTAATTTTGTTTTTCGAATGTCGCCAAGGACCCCCATCTCCGACCATCCTGTAAACCCCCTTTGTACCACCCACCCCTGACAAGACCGTTTTTCTCACCCAGGTGTCTCTACTTGGTCCCGGACCCGTCTGTTGGTATTTATACTACCCCACCTCACCTATGTCTGATCACTAATCCTCGTATGTACCCCTACCCTGGTGTCTCCTTGCAAGCGGCCCATACTTCCTCCACCCCTCTATTCCCCTCCCTTTGTCCCCCACCCCTGTAAAATCCCCTGGTGTATGAACACCCACCCCTACCATGCCTGTAACTGCTTACTACCCCTCGATTTCACGTGACCCACTAGCTGACGCATCTATTCATTACCCCACCCACCTACGGAACCTTCCCCTGGAACTTTTGCAGCCTTACACCCGTCATTTTCATATGCGATATCACCGGTACTGTAATTTCCGTCACCCTACCCCTGACATACATTTCCGTCTCTCCCCCATTCTCAACTTACAACTCTAAAAATACTCCTCCACCATGTTTCCCCGAAATTTGAACCCCCCCTACCCCAAGTTTAAGGCTTCAAGGATTTATACCCCTACTTGAAACCTGCAATGTGAGGTAAAAGGGTGGGTGATCAGCGATGGAGAGATCAAAGGGGGTGGTGGGGTGCAGAAGGGAGAATAGATTCGATTCCCCGACCTTCCCCTTCAAGTTCCTCCCCTCCTGTTTGTGTTGCTTCTCAATCCTCCGTCCTCGTTCCCACCCCCTTCTCTATCCCTGCTCTACCAGTCGCCGCCTTCTCCTCTCCTCTCCTCTCCTCTCCTCTCCTCTCCTCTCCTCTCCTCTCCTCTCCTATCCTCTCCTCTCCTTTCTTGGTATTTCCTCAGCGCCTTCAAAAGCCGAGCAGTCAAAATCATGGGGATTAAGATACCATCCATCACAAAGTTGTTCAGGAGGAAGATGGATGTTTCATACAGTTTCCGCAAAGAACAGACCAATGCACAAACATGTACACAAACATCTACAGAGAATAACGTTCACTCCTCGTCATCCGACATCTCACAGGACGGTAGTTCACAACAGAATTGCTCGCAGGTTTCTTTTGCTCGAAGTGAACGTGATCGGGCAGGACCCTTGTTTGATTCAGAGCTTGAAGTCAAGGGGTCCATGATGCGGTTCAAGGAAGCGATGATAGCCGATGCAGCTGAAGCCGAGAGGTTGATTGATGCGGTGGGAAAACTCCTGGATCATACCGTCAAGCTCAATGAGAGCAAGGGAAGGAAATCTAGTCTCAAATCGTTTGAAGGAGGCACAGTTACAATCTCAATCTCTCAGTATATCAAGAGGATCCTCAAGTACGGAGGCTGCAGCCCCTGCTGCGTCTTTGTTGCTCTTATGTTCCTGCAACGTCTCAAGGATCGACATGGGGACGGAGTGTGCCTTACCCCTTCCAACTTCCAACGTCTGTTCCTTGTTGCTATGATGACATCAGCCAAGTTTCTTGACGACTTCTATTACTCGAATGCTAGCTGGGCTGAGATTGGGTCTCTGAAGCTCAAGGAGCTTAACAAGCTCGAACTTGATTTCCTGTTCTTGATGGAGTTCGACCTGCACATTCACAGATTCGAGTATGACAAGTTTGTTGCTTCGCTCGGTCTTGAATCTCAAGAGGGAACTGGGAAATCAGAGGATGAAGCATCTGTTGTATGTAAGGTGCCTAGCTACTGTGATGTAACTTCAGCTGTGTCGGCCTTCTAGAATCTTGTACGATGTAAATGAATTATTCTTTCATCTTCAAGTCTGTCTCGCCTCGTTTATGCTTGACATCATCACTAAAAATTAACCCCCACCCCCTAAAGCATCCCAAGATCCAGGGGTTGATGACTCAGTAGTTCACCCCCACCCCTTCTTCGGAGGTCTAGGCGGGGGGTACGGGAAGAAGCGCCTCAGGGAGGATATGCGGCTAGTGGAGATGTGGGTCGGCTTGACTCTCCTCGTTCCCGCTGCTCTCTTGTGCGATGCTCCGCTTCAACCTTCCTTGCAGCCTCGCTGCTGCTCCTGCATGGCGATGGTGACGGCTCGGAAGCTGAGGGGTGGGGGGGGATGGGCAGAGGAGCTCGAGATGTCGACCTCGGCCATTGAGGCGAGTGTATCTAGTGACTTGTCGGAGGTGAGGGGGAACAAGAGCACGTTGCCAGATATAGATAGCATCTTAGAGAGACTGGAAAGAGAAGAAGAGATCGACCAGCATAGGTCCGCACTCGCGGGAGCTGAAGACGAAACATTGGGATTGAAGGGCAAAGATGCAGGGGGAAGCAAAAAGGTATCATGGGAGGAGGATGAATGCAGTTCCTGTCGAATATGCAAATACCTCCTCCAACAGCTTGTTCTCAAGTGTGGCTGACAAAATTGAAGGAGGACGAACAAGCCAAGTATCCGATGAATCAGTATCTGCTCTTACGCGAGAAGTCGTTTGGGACTGACGTGCTCCCAGTGTCGCCTCAATCAACTCGCTTGGAGATCCTGAAGATCCTGTCGACATGATCGCGTCCAGATTCGCCTACTCGGAACAGGTGAGTGAAGGAGGCAGGAGATAAGAAGGGAGCGAGCGGGGGAGGGGGGGCGATAGCTAACAGTCGTGGTGAAGATTCGTGGAAAGAAGCTGATAGACAGCGTCAAGGTTCAGGCGGAGGAGCTGATGGAAGGGCACTGATTCGATGTTTCTTGATAGAGAAGTCAGACGTCAAGGACGAGAGTGATACAACATGAGATGTCTTAACCATTTAAGTTTCGCTCTTAGACAGATCGCCTTCGGAGTGAATATCAGCTTCACTTGGATGCCATGAAGGTGGTCAGAGCTTTTGCTTCAGAGTGTAACTTGTAATGCTTATTCTTGGGCAACCCAAGGAATCAAAGAAATCCGATACCTCCGGTGAGGCGCGAGCTTTCGGCGATGAGCCACTCAATTGCCATGTCAGCGCATCGGTCACAAGGAGCTCAAAAGCAAGTTTCCCCGAAAGTCAAGAGGTCAAGATGGTCTGCGAGCCATCCGCTCGAGGTCCTCGACTCTCGCATCAGCATCAGCGGAAATCATTCAACCGTCAGGTAGAAGATTTCTTGACGCTCCTGCTGTGCTCCTGTTGATGGGTCGGCAGATCACCCACCAAAGTTGTTCTGCGGGTCAAGCGAAGGCTGTCTGATGAGCCTGTGGATGAAGTTTTGGTGTCGAGGCCCTTGAAGCGAGTGGACAAGACAGGACAAGCAGGTAGCACGAGAGATGATGGGAATCGCGCCTGACGCTTGTCCAGCAAGTCCTACTCGCTTCAAGTTGGCGAAGTTGAAGCGAGATGAGAGTCAGGAAAGGAAAGATGATGAGATGATCGTTATGACTCGTCGTGATCGAGTCAGAAAAACTTCGGAAGCTGTTGCAGCAGGACAAGGAGAGGAAGAGGACGGCGATGTTAAGCTGGTTGACCTTGAGTTAACCAACCAGCTGAAAGGAAACGAGTGGAGCCCTTCCTTGACCTTCGTGGACAAGGTGAGGGAGGAGGGCGTGCGGGAGCGGCTGAGACGCTGCAGGTGGAGCGAGCGCGCTGGCAGAGGATGGGAGAGATTCAAGAGGCGCTGGAGAAAGAGGAGGGATACGCTTACGACCTTTACTTCCTCGATGACAAGCCCCCCGACCCCGAGCAACTCGAGCAGGGGAAGAGCAAAGTAGTGACCCTGCCGATGGACTTCAACTTCGAGGTGAGCTTGCTCGACATGTCGTGAGAGGCTGACGACAGCAGGAGGAGGAACCTTCTTCTTTCAACGAAGTGCAGGACTCGGAGCTCGACTTTGACTCTCAGAATATGGTTGAAGATCAGGATTACCCTGACAAAGACGAGGACGAGGACGAGCATGACGACGGGAAGGAGGAGGAAGAGGACGTCTTCTTCGGGAATAGTGACTTCTATTAATGCATCGGTCCTCAGCCATGCTGATCTGCCCACGTCTGGTTTTCAACATTTCAGTTGGTGTAGCCGGCGGACATCATGATTTGGTGTCATGTCTTCAAGACGAGGAAGGAGGAGACATGGAGATTGAGGAAGAGGACGACGACGAGACTAGAGCAGCCGCTGCAGGTTGATCCGACACTTGCAGGAACCTGAGAGAGAAATCTCGTGGACTTCAGTTGAGAGGCAAAACGTGAGACTTTGAGACAGGCAGAATCCACGGGCCCGATGACTAAAAGTTGAGAAAGACAGGAGCAGGAGTAGCAGGGGCAGGGACAAGCAAGGCAAGGGGCAGGAGCTGGAGGTTCTTTTAGACCATAGCTCTTCCCAGCCATGCTTGACACAGAGTGAGGGTGAGACCAGACGTCTTGCGGGATTTACACTATAAGGAGGAAGTAGCGATAGCGACCGAAGCCTTCAGTCCTCAAATGCGATGATGTCACTTTGCTTCCGCCGTGCCTTGTGAACTGCACTGCTGGTCAAGAGCGACGAGAAGATTCCTGCGACACATCTTTCAGCACAAAATGCTCCGCTTCTCCTCTTACCCGCGTAGTTCGCTCCTGTTTCTCCGGACCCCCTCGTTCCGATCCCTGGCGTCTTCCACGCGGCTCGTGTGAAGCCTCCTGAAGCGACAGGTCAGAGGAAGAGGAGCTGCAGGAGTCGAGCCACCTGTCATGGGGTTCGCGCGCAAGGAACAAGATTGCGGCGTGAGCTCAACGGGGAGGGGCCCATCCTTCTTGTCGTAGGCGTACCTCACGTCTTCCTCTCGCTCAAAGTCGTATCTCTCCGCACTGCTCTCACTGCTGCCCAGTCAGCTCTAGGACGGACGCAAGGAGGTACCTGAGAGCAGAATCTTCGAGCCAGCTGACGCTATCTGGAAATGCTTCTGAAGGATCCAACGCCAACTCAGACTCGACATGTTCCAAGTCTTCCCTGATCGACATCACCCATGCTTTTGTTCGGCTGCATGGCCGTTAAGGGAATCAGGCAGGAATGAATTTACCTCTCGATGCTCGTTTGAGCACACGGCCTCCTGCAGTCCTCGATGTTCAGCGACTCCAATGCCGTCACGACCGCCTTCTCCTCTGCTTCCTCGAACGGAGCCTTCCAGAGTCCTGCTGAACGATCTCCTCCTTCTCTATGTTCCTCAACACCCAAGTCTTCTTGCTTTCCCATCAACATCCTCAGCCGGTTTTCGAGCATTTCGTTTCTTCGGCATGCGCTCCTGTACTTGCAGGCGAGAACAATGCTCTCTTGCTCTAGCTCGCAGACCCGATCGGAAGTCTCTTGGTTCTGATCCAACGAGATGTTGGTCTTGGAGCGGAGCAGCCGAACCTCATGTCGCAGCCTCTCGATCTCTCGGTCTCTTTCCTGCACTTGCTCCCGCAGGTCTTTGTTCGCTCGTTCCAACTCTGAAGTTCGTTCTTGCGCAGACCTGAGAGCTGCCTGAAGGGAGGAAGGCTTCGACTCAACCCCCTTGTCAGAAGCAAGAATGGAGCCTTGAATCTCTGTGAGTTGCTTCAGGTCCATTGGCGAAGTGTCCTGCTTTCAACCAGCATCAGGCCAAAGCTCAGGTTCTAGGCTCCTGCCTTACATTTGCGCTGAGGAGTGAATACCCGACATCAACGATGCGTACCATACTGAAGGATATCATGTCAATCCATGCAAACCAACATTGACATACATCTCGCATAAGCTTTTTTGTCCCCGTTCACAACCATTGCCCATTTGATGTACACACGATGAAGATTTCAATCATATCCCTGACTCAGGTTCCTTCCTCTCCCTCTCCCTCTCCCTCTCCCTCTCCCTCTCCCTCTCCCTCTCCCTCTCCCTCTCCCTCTCCCTCTCCCTTGTGGTCCAAGACCGTTTGCCATGGCCATAAAGGGAATCAAACCACCCCCACCCACCTCAGATCCTATGAACTACCCCACCCATCTAGATTCTATTTTTGTGAGAAACATTCAGGGCCGGCCCGCCCTGCGGCTCGTTGAAGTTTCAGGCAACTCCGAGCCAACAGCTAGCAATGTCAGTTAGCGACTGGGCAGCAACAGTCGCGTGGAAGGAAGAGGAGGAGGGGAGGAGAGGAAGAGAAGGGGAGGAAGAGAAGGGGAGGGGAGGAAGAGCGGAGGGTATGATGAGATCATTTGCATCCTTCTTGAGGGCGGGCGGGCAGGAGGGGGTAGTTTCAGGATGACACAGAGGGTGGGGAAGGGTTCTGATTGTGGAATGAGCGAGGGTTGAAAATGAAGATGATGCAGGAAGAATGAAGAGGAGAAGCTGCGAGTAGGATGAAGAAGAGCTCTACCAAGACGATTAACAAGCGCTCTGGTTTCTTCTACGGGTCTTCAGATGGGCACCCTATCGTATGGAACAACGACTGGAACTCGCTCATCCAAAAGGAGGTGGCGGCTCGCGACGAATTTTCTCGCAAGTTCATGACAGGTAAGATCCGCCCACAGCCTCCTGTGTATGCAGACATCAGCATGGACAACACCAACTGGAACAGCTTACTGCGCTCCACGTACTCAGATTTAGGGCGATGGGGGGATGAGGTAAGAGGAGGAGTGAAGGGAGAGGGGAGGATGACTCTGACTTGCTGGCAGACGTTTCGGGAGTCAGTTCCTCACAAGGTGCTGAAGAAGGAGGCAGAGCTTCCTTCCCTTCCTGGCACGCCCGAGCGAACCGACAGGCTGTCTGAGTTCGCCTACAAACATGCGCGGTGAAGCTATTTGAGCCCTTCGCCTCTCACTTGCCTGGAAGATTTCAACTCGGAAAGCATGTCAACCAAGATATGGTCTCAGTGCTTGTCCTCCCTCCCTCCCTCCCTCCCTCCCTCCCCTCCCCCAGCTCCCCTCTCTTTCTCATCTAACCTCCCCTCCCCTCCCCTCCCTCCCTCCCCCTGATGATCGCTGCAGCTAACGAGCAAAGTTGAGAAGCACAAGTCCAAGAAGAAGTCGCACGAGGGGGAAGAAAAATCAAACGAAAAGGGAGAGGGGGAGGAGGGGAAGGGGGAGCTCAGAGATCTTCTTGCGGCCTGTCTCAGCACAGACAGCAGAGGAATCAAGGTGTTTCTCCTCC